AAAACAGTAGAAAGAAATCTCACAATTTTACTAAAAGCAGAAATATCACATTTATTTCTAATAATTTTCTAGTATCTAAAATTTTCTAACAATAGACAAGAAAAATAAATAAATTTATTTCTAAGAATTTATAGCATTTAAAATTTCTAACATAGATAACATATCACACTTTTATTAAATGATTATTTTTCAAAATAATGAGATCGCTTGCGCCTAAAATTCATGTTAATAAGCAAAAGTAATTATTTCATTTTATTTATAAAAAGAACGGATTATTTTTCAAGATAATGAAGTCACTTACGTAGATATTTGAGAGGGAGCTTCCAATAAAAATTCGGCTTGAGAGAGGAGCTCACTGTGTTTCGACTAGAGAGAGAAAGATCTCAAAAGTTTTCTCGGGTGGGAGTCCTCACCTCTCCAAATTTAAATTCTTAAGACATATTATTATACTATTTTATTTAGCTCCACCTCATACATGAGGTGTGACGATAATGTTGTACGTGAAGCCTTTAAGGCCCACGTCAACTAAAGGACGTGGTCAAGGAAAGGAAAAAGTTAACAAAAGTGGTGATGGTCCCTAAGGACCATAATACTTATATGGACGATCGCACTATAAAGAATTATTTATTTATTTATATTTTATTTTTTTTGAAAGTTTAGGATTGTTACGCTATAGCCCTATGCTAGGGGCTTCAAAACATTATCACACTACTGTGATTGCATTCAAAACTTCGAATATGACCAAATTTCGACTGAATCGAACCTCCCAAGAACGTTCTGGACCAAATTACCACAAAATGGTAGGTCTTACACTATTACGGTACGGCCTCCCCAAACCTGTTTCCAATCTTGGGACTGTGTTTTCACATCTCGGGATGACCTTCAAGCGCTCACAGGTCACTCATTTGGATTCAGAACAAGCTCAAATTAGGACACAAGCAAGATCTCGACGACCCTATTAGTTTGACATATGGCACGCATCATGACGTGACCCAAAACCAAAATGTTTTTAGAGAGAAGATGAGCTCGAAACCATGAAATCATAGTTTTTAAATAAAGACATCCCAAGCTTCTTGAAGCGAAAATCTGAGATCTATGTATCGGATCATCGCAAAATCGGGTCTTATGCAACCATGTGCAACCATGTCACAAAGGGATACAAACTGGTAGAAAATTTTGCACTCAATTGAAGATAAGATAGCGCAAATTCCAAGGTTAAAGATGGCAAGATTTTTCCGATCACCAGAATCCCTTTTCCGGTGACCTCCCGAATTCAGAAATACTTCAAGCAAGAATAAAATCGGACAAAACTTGGTACAAAATTGTGACAGTCTCCTCTTTAATTTGCAATCAAAACGAAGACTCGAAACACCATGTATCACATTGCATTGACGGCCAACGATCACAACCTAGCCGGATTGTTTTACCCTTCAAGAAAAGTCTGTCTCAAGACGATCAAAAGACATCAAAATGTTCATAATAACGTAAGCGTCAAGTCTAGGATGATGGATCATCCATATCACTGCCACAAGTACTCGAAAAAGCTCCCAAAATCTGGCAATGATGAGAGGCCCCTCAAAGAGGGATGGTTTCATCATTAACACAAAAGGTTTAAGGGGTATTTTGGTTATTATTCTTAAATTAGGGATTTTATTGTAATTTCTTTTAATTATAATTTGGCTTTGGTTTGAGCATTCACCCCTATTTAGTGGGTCCTCTATATAAACAAGTTTAGGTCAGATGTAAAAGGGTTGGATCATTCATGGATGAAATCGAGGCATTAAGCTTGTGCTCACTTGTGTTTTGCTTTTAACTCTTGGATCCGGCGGTGAGGAGAGAGAAAAATTTCAGGGAAAGAAACTACCCTTGGCTCATCCTGCGAGCCTATCCTGCAGCCCACACGCACCAACCTTGGCCCAAAGTCTCTTCTCTCTCTCATTCTCAAAGCACGTAAAGTCTCGAAGCTGCAGAACCGACGGCCTCGTCTCTTTCTGCGACTTTCTCACTATTCCTCCCTTGCTCGATGTGCTAGTGCTACAAACCTGTGGCCCCGTCATCGTCTCTTCCCCTTTGTTGGGAGCGTGACCGCAGCAAACCTGCAGCCCCATTCTTTCTCTCTCTTAAGCTAAGGCCACACCTTGAGCCCTCTCTCTCTCCTCTTCCCCTCTCCTCTTTCTTCTTCCCCTCTCTCTAAGTGTCGCCTTCCTCGTATAATAGCCCAGAGCTGCGTCAAATGTGCGGTCATGTCTCTCTCCCCCCTCTCTCGACTTTTCACGATGCTGTCTTCCCTTTTCACTGCGAACAGAACCACGATCCTCGTCCCCTCTCCCTCATCCCCGTGGTGCGTAGATTCTCGAAGCCGTAGAACCTACAGTCCCGTCTCTTTCTGCGACTTTCTTGTTGTTTCTCCCTTGCTCAGTACGCCAACACAGCAAACCCGTGGCCCCGTCATCCTTTCTTCTCCCTTGTTTTGAGAGTGACCACAATAAGTCTGCGGCCTCGTTCTTCCTCCTTCCATGCGAAACTGTGGCCCTTAACTTTCTGCGGCTTCATTTTTCCATTCACTTCACCATCCTCTTTCTCGTACACTGATAGCATCCCACTATTTGCCACACACTCGAATCGACATCTTTCAGAGCTATCTTAAGAATTCCAACTCTCAAACTACCACTCTAACTTTCTCTCCATACAGTCGAGCGGAGCTATGAGAGATACATACGTTCTCTCCCTCTCTCACTAGGGTAGATTCTTCTTGAGTCGGTAATCAAGAGAGTTCTAACTCTTTAGCTTCTTTGATCGTCGAAGCCCATAGCATTTGCGTGGATAGAGAGGTTCTTGTCTTTACTTCTCCCCACGTTCTTTCTTTTGCCTGCCAATCCTTGTTCGAGTGAATCAATACATAAGGGTATCTTTGAGTGCACATTACAAGTCTTGTAGTAAAAAAAAAACGAGATGAGACGACGCATTAAAGTTTGAGGAGCGTTCATGTCCAAACCACACTGGCAGACAGCCGAAGGGCTTTGTGATTGTTCTTAGAGGGCGTCTGCCCAGGTGCATCCACGAATCCACAAACAACGAGGTAAGCACCGAAAACACTCATCATCAAAAAATCTCTCTTGTTATTGGTTCCTATCTATATAAAGAGGAGTACACGTGTATGCCTAAAACATGTCCCTCGCGCACACCCCTCGTAGTTGTTTGAGAGAGGGTTTTCTCTCAATAGAAAACTAGGCCCGACCGCCCACTTTGTGCAATGTAACTTCTATTTTGTGATGAGGCCATGAAGGCTTTCAATCAAATTGGAAACAAAATGGAATGTTTGAAAATTTAGAAAATTGATTTTCAATTTTGAGCATGTGTAGGAGATTTATGAAATAGAGAGGAAAGTATGGTGCATTTTCCATAGCAATTTTATTTGATAGGATTAGGTTAAGGAAGTTAAAGAATAAGGTTCTTGCACCTTCTTTTTAATCATGATAGTTGATTTAAGGATCGTATGACTAAAATCTCTCACCTCATAGGTCTCCTATGATCAATAGTCTGAATATATTCTCCATAAGAATGATTAACCCTAAGAAACCCTAGCTCTAAAGAAAATCTATACATAAGCACCATGGGGGTTCTATTCTTTACACCTTAAGATGTCTCTCTCTCTTTCTTCACCCTAGGTGGCACTCCATCCTCTCTCCATCTCTCTCTCTTGATCTTTCATCTCTCTCTATCCTCTCTAAGTTCGAAATAATTTTAGAGAAGACAAAAATTAGGGGCACGCCTCCAAGCATTTTGATAAGCGGGGGCACACCCTACACATAATAGACATTGAGGTCTAGTCTTGAGTTGTTGGTTGCATCCTTGCTCTCTAATTTGAAAGTGTTTATAGCCTAAGGTTTACTATAATTTGAAGATTTGAGATTGACCATTGATCTCGTGTGTCATTAGAGAAGGAAATTTGAAGTGAGATGAGAAGTTCAATTTAGGTAATCTTCTGGTATCTTGTTCTGTGATTTACAGTTTATGCATTTTTTTATCACTTGTTACTATTTACTTTGAGTTGACTTAATTGTATTCGACGTTTATAATTGCTCTAGCCTGTTATAAGAAGAAAAATCAAAAACTGCATATGTCATACTAGTTCACCTTGTCCAACTTTCAGGGGGTGTGTCATTGATTGGGCACAAGGTCAAACATAAAAGTTTTTGAACTATATGATACATTTGAGGTTGTTGGACTTCAAATTCGATGGCTACAAGTAATTGTGCCCTTATTGCACCAAACATTAACGGCGTTGTAGTATACAATCCCATAAAATTCATACACGGACACATTACTTAGTCATTTTTGGTTTCTAGTTTAGAACTCGAGCAATACACATTCTTTAAAGAAAACAAGTTATATAAGGATACAACCTTATACTAGAGAAATGACCTGCACATCAAATATCTAGTAGAAATTAGTATTCCGAATTTGGAAAACCTTCCAATTGATCATCACAACTTCGATATATATAATCATTAAGAAAAAACATTCAAGTCCTAAAATTAGTTCATCTTGTAACAAGTTATTTGGACCATTTATCTTTGGGATTTTGAAGTACTTGCATGTTTGCTCGGTATGTGTTGTTTTTTAAACTTTAAATTTCATAATTAGGGTTGGACATGGATCTTTGAGAAAAACTATTTAGGAGGGGTCAATTCCAGTGAATTCCATTAGTATCCCCTTATTTCCAATGTTGACTAAAAAAAATTGACCTTGTCATCTTTCTTTCGGGACTTAAAAAGGGATTATGTGCCCTAGAGAACTGAAAGATTTAATACAGAGGTTCGATTGAAAATCTTTGGTATGTTTAGTAATCTTTAGTAAACTAAGGTTGTAAAGAAGAGGTTTTTAAGATTAGCTCTGCATATTGTACAACTCCTAAAATACATGAAGCCAACAAATCCCATGAAGCTACCTAACTTAATTTTGTTTTCTTCACGTAGAGATTAACAATATCCAAAGAATTATCACAACAAAATCACCACATCCTATCAAAAAATCCACGTTAAATATCCCACTACTGCATTCATGTACAAGGGGATAGGTGAGGGATCGAAATCTTGTTCAAGAACTATAATCCGCGACTACCGATTCTATGAGTCACAACCACATTCAGAGTCTCAGTTTTGCTGGTACCACTTGAATATGAATGTCTCTGTAACATCTCCATTCCCATAAAGGAAATGTGGTGACATCGGCAATGGGAGAGAAGAAGTGTCACTATTCAACATTACAACCACTGAAGAAATGGTTGGCCTCTCTGCTGCATCTACTTGAACACAAAGAAGTCCAATGTGAATGCATCGCAACACTTGGTTTCTAGGGCAAGTCTCACCAAGAGATGGATCCATCAACTCTATAGGCCTCCCTTCACACCACAATCGCCATACCTAAACAATTTAAGTTCATTAGTTTTGTTCAATTTACGCGTACAGGAACGGCAAACAATTATCAAGCAACAACTAAATATTAACAGAGACTAAGACCCACATATTCAACGAGTCCTTGACCTTGTTGAAATAGTTCTGGAGCATTGTTCTTCTTCCCACTAACAATTTCTAGCAGTAAAACTCCAAAGCTATAGACATCTGACTTCACAGAAATTTGGCCCTGCATGATGTACTCCGGGGACATGTACCCACTGCAATTCATACACCCAGTAACTAATTAATTGCTGATCCAAAGGGAATAAAAAAGTTCGATGTTGTTCTGTTCGTGGAAATTTTAGGCTTCTGAACCAACCGATTCAAAATGTGGACCTCAATGAAAATTTTACTTATCACAAATATTTGTTCATTCCTCGCGCTTTATAAAATTTGAAAACTATTCTATGTACCTAAGAAAGAAACTTTCATTCTCCTAATATATTTGTAAATCAATTAGGTAAATGAAGCCTTGATTAACATGGGAGGCCAAACTTACTATGTGCCAATGACTTTGCTTGTATTGACCTGAGTCTCATCACCTTCAAAAAGCCTTGCAGTTCCAAAGTCCGAAATTTTAGGATTTAAATCACTATCCAACAATATGTTGCTGGCTTTAAGATCCCGATGAATAATTCTTAGTCTAGAATCTTCGTGGAGATAAAGAAGCCCCCTTGCGATGCCTACAATGATGTTGAAGCGTTTCGCCCAATCTAGTAGTTTGCATCTTTCCAAATCTACTCATGATTTCCATGACAGCATAAAGGTTAGCAAATACTCAAAACAAACGTATTTAGATAGCAATAATGGAGCAGGAAAAGTTGATGGGGAGTCCAAACCAAATAGGAATGTGTCCAGGCTCTTGTTGGGCATGTATTCATACACTAGCAAATTTTCTCCCTTCTCTAAGCAACATCCGAGAAGCCTCACAAGATTCCTGTGCTGAAGCTTAGCGATCAAAATGACTTCATTCTTGAACTCCTCCACACCTTGGCTGGAGCTCCTACACAGTCTTTTTACTGCAATTTCTCGCCCATCGTATAACTTCCCCTGTAAAACTTGCTATAATTATTTACACTAATGAACATGTAGTAAAGTTATTAAATTTGATAACTTCTATGATTCTGCATTACCTTGTAGACAGGACCAAAACCCCCTTCTCCAAGTTTATTTTCATCACAAAAATTGCTTGTGGCATGGATAATAGTATCTAAATAAAAAAGCAGTGAAAACTTTTCTTCTCCCTGCACTATTGTACATCCTTCTTCTTCGTGTCCATTCTTTGTATTTAAGCTCTTCCTCGATTTAAATAACAAGGACATGTGACTTTTCTTCCTTCCTACAGAACCTACAACAACAATGAGGAGGTGAAATGGATTGAAACTAAGATCACGTTCAAAAGTTCCATGGCCAAAACTACCACATTGCTTGAAAGGGTGACGGATTTCTACCTTTTCCCTTGCCAGTCCTACACAAGAAACAATACATGCATATAGCAATCGCCATGGCTCCGCATACAACGACAACTGAAATGGTAACAATCAAAGCCGTGGATATTCCTCCATTATCTCCTACCTCTGTAAGGGAAAAATTACGTAAGATATCTACCATACTTTTTACAATTAGAAAAACAAGCAAATAAAATAAGCTCATGTTAGAAACTTGAAAACTAATTGAAATTGACATGCATCACTCTAATTAAAAAAGGGTATATTGGAGGATTTAGCTTTGTTCTTTCCTCTTGCTTCATTTTTGTAGAATTTAATGCATCTCATTTTTATCTAATTTAATAAATTCCAGTGTTTCTAATCTGGGATTGGGCCATAGAACCAACCCTGGCCCAATGCGGGTTACTCGGATGAATTGTATATATAATTATCTTATAGTAATATAATGAAACACATTTATAATAACTATATGACGGGCATTTGTTCGATGCGATGTAAAAACCATGGGGAGACTAATGATCATATATTTATGCATTTCTCTTTCGTGAGAAAGCTATGGGACTGGGTTCTCACCAAGTCACAATGGTATTGGGTCCTCATGTTCTAATGAATAACTCCGGCCAAGTACTCGGCCAGAGTTGGGTCTAGTACTGTAGCATCAAAAAGTCTTAACAGAAAAAAAAATCTCAATAAATAGGCAAAATATGTTTAGAGTAAAATTAGACAAAACATAACTAAACGTGGTTAAAAAAAGTAGTGAAATTGATTTTGAAGCACAGAATAGTAAGATCACAACAATGGCAACCAGCTTTAGAATCATGAGTAAAGCTTAACTTTGATGGCAGCATTAGAGATGAGGAACATATAGCCGGTTCTGGAGTTATATTGAGATACTCTATTGGGACTACTATCTGGACCTATCAAGGATGCATGGACCACATTGGTATCAATGAGGCAAACTGTGGACCTTAAAATTTTGCGTTACTAGAGCTATATTAAACTTTTTGTCAAAGGAGACATAGAGAATGTGATAAATTGGTGCAAGTCCCCGGAACGCTGTAGCATGGAGTAGTTTTATGGATGAGATCTTCTCTTGTCCATAGTTTCTCTTGTCCATAGTGAGCGTAGTGAGGAAGCTGACAAACATGCCAAGGGGGAAACAGGTACACAAACCACCTTGAGTGGTTCCTTTGTTTTTGTTGGGGAAGTACCCTGTTATCGTGTTTTCAATTTTTCTACACCCATGTCTTTACTTCTTTCTATCCTCTTCATTTCTCTTTCATCTTTTATCTTTGTAAACCACTTTATTTTCTCAATGAAATCTCATTAAAGATCCAAAAAACAAAAAAAAACAAAAAAAAATAAAAAAGAAAGAAAGAAAAGAGATGAGAAGGTATTAATCTAAGGACCCCTACTTCCTTAGCTCTGTTTCACATACCTCTCCTCCTCTTTTCCGATTCCTTTGTATCTTTTTTATATGATAGGGAGTACATTGAAGTTTACTTTTGGACTTATTTAAAATTTTCAGG